GCAGGTTAAAGCCCTGGCCTGAAGCTCTGGCATCCCATATGGGCACCAGTTCTAGTCTCGGCTGCTCCTCTTCTAATCCAGCTCTCTCTATGGCCTGGGAAAGCAGTGGAAGATGGCTCAAGTGCTTGGGCCCCTGCACCTGCGTGGGAGACCTGGAGGAAGCTCCTGGCTCCTGGCTTCGGATCGGCGCAGCTCTGGCCATTGCGGCCATCTGGGGAGTGAACCAGTGGATGGAAGACCTGTCTCTCTGTCTCTACCTCTCTCTGTAACCCTGTCTTTCAAATAAATAAAATAAATTTTTAAAATGATTTTAAAAAAAGGTGTGACAACATAGGGGCACCCAGAAGACATTGCCCAAGGTAAAACAAGCTAGTCACACAAGGCGTCTGCTTGTAGGCGATGCCCAGGGCAGCCAGACCCAGCAGAAGCCAACAGAAGAATGGCCATTGCGAGGTGCTGAGAGAAGGAAACAGGTGTTGTTACTGAACAGGTGTAAGGGTCTCCGTGGAGCACAATGGCTAAGTTCTAGAGATCTGTTGTAATGCGTGATGCTGAGAGCTAGCAACACTGGCTCCTACACATCTGGAGGTACATCTCATAGTAAATGCTACTGCAATAAGAAAGTAGCAGAAAGGGAGTCTCCCAAAGGACCACGTGTGGAACTTCAGTGGCAAGAACGTTTTGCTTTGCTGGATCTGAACATCTTCAACTGTTAACTGGGGGTGAAATAGCAGCCGCTTTCTGGGGTTATCTGAGGATGGAATGATGTCAGCCACGTAAAGCATTTGGCACGGTGCCTGGGCGTAACAGAGGGCCAATTAATGTTTGTTGTTATTGTCGTGATCGTCAGCAGTAGCCGCATCGTTATTACTCCAGCGCCCAGACAGCCTGCCAAGAATCGATGCTCTCCAGCATGCGGTCCCCTGCACCAGCTCCAGCTAAGAGGCAGACAGACAAGTCAAGACCTCCAGCCCCCATTGGAAGAAGAAATATTCAATAAACTTCACAATCCAATAAAACATTCAAGGGACCCGAGGGGTTTGAAAACCCTTCAAAATGAAAATGATAAAAACAAGTTATGTTATCATAGCCAACACCAGGCCAGCTATAATGTCAACAGCGTTCTAATTCTTAGAATGAACAAAACTGGAGTCAAGTTTTGGCAAGTTTTCTAAGAACATATACTTATATAAATTATATGAAATGATAATATGACACATTCCCTTCAATTTGACTTTTTGCCGCGGGATCATAAAGAGGATAATTTTTCAGAAGTACCGGAGGGTTTCGTCAATTTTACTAAGGGTCTCTCTTAATCCTTTGATACACAAATCATTCTCATTTGAAGCACCTGTCATGTCAGCTTGCCTGATGCTTTGCTTGTAATGAGAGCTGCTCTCCAGCAAAATTTTCATTCACTTTATGAAATCCTGCATCTTTTGCAAGATTTGCAATCCCACTTTGCAATCCATTTACATGATATTTGCATAGCGGTATTAGATATCTACAACATCTGGCCATCCATGAAGAAGCATCAGGCAGATCTTGGCAGCCTGGTAGGCAGTTACATCCATGCAAAGTGCAGCAATGTTTGTGCGTTGGAAACTTAATCTCCAAATTCACAGGTTAATGGGATTTGGAGGCGGAGCCTTTGGGAGATAGTTAGGATTAAATGAGGTAGTGAGTAAGCAGCCGCCACAATGGCATCAGTGGAAGAAGGAGGAGGAGGAGGGAAAGGGAGAAGGCAGAAGGAGGAGGAAGACTTGAGCTACCACGCTTGCCCTGTCTTGCCATGGAGTGATATAATGTGCCAGCCATTCCTGGGCACGGATGATGGCTGTCTGCTCTCCGGCATCTCAGTCCTCATGGTCATGAGCCAAATATACTTCTGCTCTTTATAAATTATGCAGCCTCAGGTATTTTGTTATAGCAACAGAAAACAGACTAAGATAGATCTCCCAAACGTTGTTTCCAACCCTTGAACACACTAGTGAATCCTACACAATCTTCTCTTGGCTTGCGCTGGGTTGACTACTTCACTCAATAAAAGCAATCTTTTTTGACTAAATCCTCCAGACACTTGAGCTGTCACATTTGCTTTTTACTGTTTCACATGGATTACTTAGTTCAGACTTGCTGGGATTGTGTTAATGTCAAAAATTGAGTAATAATCTCAATAATAATTCCTCGTAGTTGAATAACATTGAATAGTAAACAAAGGGTGTCTATACGCATTGAATCTTCATTACAGAAGAATTTAGCATCCAACTATAACACAGTAATGAGGTCATACAGAGGAGCAAAAAGCCATTTATAATATAAAAAAAGAATTCACAATTGAATGGCCACTTATAAAATTAATACCCGTTCCAACCTCCTTCAGCACATGGTTGCCTCATTTGGTGACCTGGAACAAATCATTTTGCCTCTCTTGTTCTCAGCTAACTCATGTGTTATAAACTGAAGGCAGAATTATCCAAAAGTGGAGATTCCGTGTCAGTGGAAATGAAATGTGGGAAAACTTTTCCGTCGGTAAACGGAAATAAAAAAGACATCTGCAAGCAGAAGCAGAGAGTCACCCCTCGGTATCCGATATCCAGCTTCCATTTCCAGTGTACTGAGAGAGTGACTGACTGGTAAACAAGCTGTTCACTTGACTCAGGCTCCCATGCAGCTAGGTGAGAATGGGCGATTAAGTTCCAGCCAATAGAACAGCGAGAAGTGAGTGCAATATCCAGGCCATTCCCTTAGAGTGAAGGTATTTTTCTTTTTAACCTCGCTTGTCCTCTTGCTGCTGCCTGGAATAAAGACCTGGTGGTAAAATACCCAGAGGAGCTGGCGGTGTGGCACAGGGGGTTGGCTGCTGCCTGCTGCACTGGCACCCCATATGAGCACTGGTTTGAGTCCCAGCTGCTCCATTTCCAATTCAGCTCCTTGCTAAGGTACCTGGGAAATCAGTGGAAGATAGCCCAAGTGCTTGGGCCCCGGAAACCCATGTGGGAGACCCAGATGGAGTTCCAGGCTCCTGGCTTCAACCTGGCCCAGCCCTGGCTACTATGCAAAAAGAAGATTCTCTCTCTCTCTCTCTCTCTCTCTCTCTCTCTCTCTCTCTCTTTCCCTCCCTCCTCCTCTTCCTCCTCCTACTCTCTCTGTAACTGTGCCTTTCAGATCGAAAGAGCCAATGATGAAAATATCCTAAGAATGATCAAGAAAAAAACCACAAAGCCCATGCCCCTGAAAACTCCAGGATGCAAACCCCGCCCCCCACGCCAGCCCAGACTCTGACGTGCAAAAGAAAGAAACACCTGCCTCGAACTGGGTTGTTCCTCTCCAGCGGAGCCACCTCCTACCTCAAATGAGGTGAGGCCGATGTCCTTTTATCCAACACACAGTAACCCACCCCTTCATCAGATAACTTCCATGTACAAGACAAAGACATGGAGAGGAGTCTACAGCGGCGGCTACAGATCAGTGGTCTGAAGTCAGAGCTCCCACTTCCCGGCAGCATGACCTATGAAAATCATCTAGCCTACAGGGACCTGCCTTGCTCATGTATAAACTGTGTATAATAAAAGTAGCTGACTTCTTGAGATTGGTGTAAGGTTTAAGGAGACAACGTGTGGAAAGAATTTAGCCCAAGGACCAGCACAAACAAAGTATCAGAAAATGGTCATCACCATTACTGCACGGAAAGGTGTGTTTTCAGGGCTGGATGATGCCCCACCCCCGCCAAGCATTCAATCCAGTTTGAGGATCTAAAGCTTAAGTGATGCCACTGGAGACTCACTCATTTCAAGTCATTGCACATCTACTAAGTCACCTTCCTTCTGAAATGTGAAGTTTTTCTTCTTGGCAAGTTCCCGAATACTAACAAGGAAAAAAAAAAACCAACACATTGGAAGACCATCATCTGTTCTCCATTAGATGCAGACTGGGTTTGAGAGACAGGTTTCCAGGGTATGGGTAGGGCCAACCAAGAGTTTGCACCCACATCTTTCCAAGACCGCGAAGACTGCACGCATCTCCCTGTGTGCCTGCTGATGCACTTCTAGGTTGCAAGAAACTACATTTCCTAAACTACCTTGCCCTCTGGCTTCCTGGCAGACTCAGCCAATGGGGAGCGGAGGGCTGGCGGGAAGAGAGAGGAAGCAGCTAGGCTATTCACCCTCTCATCTGCTATGGCAGTGGCTACAGCGGCCCTGCGATCTCGGCTGTGCTTGGAGGTCCTGGCACCAAAACGCTGGTGAGGCACGCTCTTCTTGCTGTCCCTTACTCTAGGGACAGGAGAGACTTCCTGCTATTGGTAACCTCTGAACAACCTCACGTTCTGCCCTTGGCTTCCTCAGCGCCGCCATTACCTGTGGAGTCAATACCCTGCATTCAATTCTTCCCGCTGGAAGGACCCTTCCTGATGGCTGATTTCTGTCTGGACCCCTACAGATACCAGATGGCAACTCCGGAGCTGAGCACACTGCCTCAGATGGCCTGGGGACAGTACTTGTATTTGTTGAAGGGATGAAAACTCAAAACAGAAAGATGCTAAAACGATCATCCTGGACCCGGTCCTCCGACCCCTCGGAAGAGCTGTGTGGCTGAGAGCCCCCACTAAGAGACACTCGTTTCTGCTCTCACAATCTCACAGCTGGATAAACTACTGACTATATCAAAACACTCCTCCTTCAAAAACCCCATTTCCGGTCCGGTCCCCCAGCGTCGTGCACTCCCACGGGCAGTGAGCAGTTGGCTCTGGAGCTTCTGGTTACAGGATGACCTGGTGGAGAACAGGGCAGATGTGGGGGCGGAGGAGGAGCCGGTGCAGCAAAAAGCACAACTTCCCCGAGAAGCTGTTTACCGCCAGATAGCCAGGACTTCGCTGGGGAGCGGCACGGGGCTGACAATATTTGTAAATAGCTGTTTAGCCCCGAGAGCTCTCTCCCATGGAAACAGCTAATAAACCAAGCTGCCCGAGTTTATCCCTCAAGCCAAGACACATTCCAGGGTCTGATTACATTTCTGTTTTATTATGGAAAAGGAGAGGGCGCGAGAGCACGCAACGAGGGAGGTGACGGGAGACTGCGAGTTGAAAGCAGGAGCATCAGTCTTCCAGGTGGGGTGGATGGGGGTTTTGCCGTCTAGAATTCAGATCTCGACATGAAAATCAGAATTGGCACCGGCTCGCTCTGAATCGGGAACTTCCCTCTGGACTTGGAATTCCAAAGTGTTTAGGCACATCTGGCTAACCAAGCAGCCTCTTTCCCACTTCCTCCAACAAAAGCCGGCAGCGTAGGTAGGTGGCCAAGGACCTCCCTCCCCAAGGACAGTGAGAACCCAGGTGATAGCCACCTGCTGCTCCGTGCAGCATGTCTCCAGCGGCAAGGCAGTCTGTTGACTCCTTGTTCCTGTTTGGCAGTACGTGACAAGTTTCATCTGGTCACAGGTAGCAGGTGTCCAAGGCAGGACGCTGGTCCCACCCAGGTTCTGCTGCGCCAGGCTCCTCTTCAAGACCTCGCCTCTCCTCCCAGGGCTGACCCTGCGCCTGGGGTTTTCTGTGGATATTATCTGACGTGCCTCTGAGACTCCCATTCCCTGCTGAGATCTAGAAGGAAGCACAAAAGAAAGGAAAATGAAGACCAACATTGGGAACAGAATTGAAACTACTAAGGAAATGCTGTTGTGTGTGTGGTTATTTTGAGTATGTGGTTCTTAAGGTGTTTTTTTTTTTTTTTTTCATTTCTTGCAAGCCAACACATGTCACTTTTATGATGACACTAGGATTAGGACACAGGCACTTGGAGGTGACTCTGCATCTCAGCCCACTCCAGAACACTGTGCATTGCGTGCGGGGCCCTTGCTGTGTGCTGTGACCGCCCCGAGTCTTGTCTGCATTTGATTTTACGTGGTCAGTCTGGATAAGTGCCGTGTCCGGGAATGCTGATCTCACCCGACGTTTCACAAATTAAACATCCCATGCTCCAGACAGGCCCTTGAGAAGTAGGCCTTGTAGGACCTTCACAGGGAGAAAGCAAAACCAAAATGCACTTGAGGCCGGCGCCACGGCTCACTAGGCTAATCCTCCTACTGCGGCGCCGGCACTCTGGGTTCTAGTCCTGGTTGGGACTCCGGTTCTGTCCCGGTTGCTCCTCTTCCAGTCCAGCTCTCTGCTGTGGCCCGGGAGTGCAGTGGAGGATGGCCCAAGTGCTTGGGCCCCTGGGAGACCAGGAGGAAGCACCTGGCTCCTGGCTTCGGATCGGCTCAGCGCGCCGGCCGTAGCAGCCATTTGGGGGGTGAGCCAGCAGAAGAAAGACCTTTCTCTCTGTCTCTCTCTCTCTCACTGTCTAACTCTGCCTGTCCCAAAAAAAAAATGCACCTGAGCATAAGCAGGGTCTGCAAAAAGCTCATGTGTGCATCATAAAAACCTACTGCGCGTGGATTTAAAAATCTCTTAGATGTATTTTTTTTATTTGAGATGAGAGAGAGAGAGAGAGAACACACTTCTATCTTTTGATTTACTCTGCAAATACTCACAATAGCTTGGGCTATGTGGGGGCAAATCCAAGAGCCAGGAATTCAATCCAAATCTCCCAGGTGTCAGGGACCCCAATTATTTGAGCCATCACTGCTACCTCTCAGGGTCTTCAGGAACCTGGGCGTGGGATGCAGGAATCCACCCAGGTACTAGGAAGTGAGACTAGGGCTTCTTAGCTGCTAAGCTAAACATCCACCCTGGATTTCAACTGTTTTGAGTGCCGACATAAACATATCTTGTCATTCCATTTTTCTATGCATTTATTTATTTATTTGAAAGGCATTTGCAGAGAGGCAGAGAGAGAGAGAGAGAGAGAGTCTTCCATCTGCTGGTTCACTCTCCAAATGGCTACAACAGCAGGAGCTGTGCGGATCCAAAGCCAGGAGCCAGGAGCTTCTTCCAGGTCTCCCACACGGGTGCAAGTGCCCAAGGACTTGGGCCATCTTCCACTGCCTTCCCAGGCCATAGCAGAGAGCTGGATCAGAAATGGAGCAGCCGGGACTCGAACTGGAGCCCTCATGAGATACCAGTTCTAGGAGGCAGTGGCTTTACTGCCTACACCACAGCGCCGGCCTCGCCACACACTTTTTTACATACCTTCCTACAATGGTCTCTGGGGAATCTTGTCACTAAGAAAACAATTGCAATTTTTATTTAAAAAAAAATTGTTTCCAAAACATCTTTAACTGAGGAATTCTTATTTCCTAAACGCCAACAAGCATCCTGACAGCCGTACTAATGAGCTAGGAAACTCACTCAGTCTCTTATCATCATCATTCACTGGTATATTCCACGAAGACAGAGACTCTGGCCTCTCGCGTCTTCAAGATTTTCAACAACGATGGTTACGAAGGAGAAACGGCTGGATACTTTCTCAGCCAGGAAAACGAGGGCTGCGATCCACCCATTTGGTTGGGAAATTTAAGATCCCCTAACCGAGGCTTCCAAGAGGCTGTGTGGAATATATGCACACACATCACTCAGTGCTCCCCCGGCCCCCGGCCCGCTCCGCTGCGTTATAATCGATACTTAAACAACTACAAAGGTGGACACTGACCCTCAGCATTCCTCCCACCCCTGCCCACGGCCCACTCGAGATGTTATCTGCAAGCCATAAACAGGCCCGTCCCGACGCCGCGGCCACCCCGGCGTGATAGCCAACAGCTGCTCGGCCGGGAGCCGGCTCCCAACTTTGTCGAGCTTCCTGTGCAGTTTCTCTTTGAAGTTCAAGGGGGCCTGCGTGCAGCATGTGCGGGAAGGGAATCCAAGCTTCGACTCCCTTGCCGCCTTGTCCTTGCGAGACACAATTCAGCATCTCGCGGGACATTGATAGAGCATCACTGGTGTCAAACATGGGACAAGGGAAGGACCCCGGGGCCCCGTTTCTGCAGACGGGGAAACGGAGGCTCTTGCAGGCAGCAGTGCGGGTGGACGGTGGACTTGGCTTTTCACTTGGCTCCTGACTGAAGTCATAAATGCGCCAGACTGGGAAAACCATCGTCATCTCTGAAGAACAGCTGGCAGGTGGAATGGAGACAGACAAGGGCCAAGTCTCCTGGGGCCTCTGGTGGTGTGGTTAGCTGGGCCCTTCCTCCCCCGGGGCAGAATGAGCCTCCACTTGGCAGAGTTAGTGAGACAGAGAGAAAGGTCTTCCTTCCATTGGTTCACCCCCCAAAAGGCTGCTACGGCTGGCGCGCTGCGCCAATCTGAAGCCAGGAGCCAGATGCTTCCTCCTGGCCTCTCACATGGCTGCAGGGCCCAAGCATTTGGGCCATCCTCCACTGCCTTCCTGGGCCACAGCAGAGAGCTGGACTGGAAGAGGAGCAGCCGGGACTAGAACCCACACCCATATGGGATGCTGGTGCTGCAGGCAGAGGATTAACCAAGTGAGCCACGGTGGCAGCCTGCTGAGTTTTAAGTCATTTCACTGAGCCTCCTGCTCAGCGCCTTTGCCTGTCTCTGCTCACTGAATCCGTACAGTGACGCCTTGAGGTGGCTACTGCTGTCGCACCCACTTTGCAGCTGAGAAAACTGAGGTCCAAAGGCAAGATCACGTTGCCTGAAGTCACTCACTTAGGCCGCGGTGGTGGAAGCTATTTTTCCACTAACTCTAACAAGCCTGAAACACAGTGTGCTTATTCATCTGTCCATTCATTCACTTGGGGTGCTTACGACACCACTTGGGATGCCTGCGTCCCATATGGGAGAGCCTGGGTTCGAGTGCTGGTTCTGTTTCAGATTCTACCTTCCTGGGAATGGGCACCCTGGGAGGTAGTAGGTGGACCCAAGCAGCTAGGTCCCTGCCGTCCACATGGGAGACTCCATTTGAGTTTTCAGCTCCTGGCTTTGGCCTGGCCCAGGCCTGGCTTTGCAAGCATTTGGGAAGTGAACCAGTGAATGAGAGAGCTCTCTCTCTGTTGGCCTGTCTGTTTTTGTCTGTGTATGTGCCTTTCAAATAAAAAATAAGAGATTTTGAAAGAAAAGAAATATGTGCAACATAGTATTCATAATCTGTTTATCTACTGCAAATGACTTCAAGATTTAGCTGCTTAAAACAACGATCAGGGGCCTGCGCTGTGGTGTAGCGGGTAAAGCTGCCGGCTGCAGTGCCGGCATCCCATATGGGCGCCTGTTCAAGTCCTGGCTGCTCCACTTCCGATCCAGCTCTCTGCTATGGCCTGGAAAAGCAGTAGAGGATGGCCCAAGAGATTGGGCCCCTGAACCCGCATGGGAGACCCGGAAGAAGCTCCTGGCTCCTGGCTTCAGATCAGCACAGCTCCGGCCATTGTAGCCAACTGGGGAGTGAACCAGTGAACGGAAGACCTCTGTCTGTCTGTCTGTCTCTCTCTCTCTCTCTCTCTCCTTCTCTCTCTGTGTAACTCTGACTTGCAAGTAAATAAATAAATCTTTAAAAAACAATCAAAAATAAAATATTTATGAAAAAAACATTTATGAACTCATGTTGCAGGTCAGTAACTGGGAGTGGCTTGGCTGGGGGGCTGGGTTTCAGGGTTGCTCATCAGTCCAAGGATCACCTGGGGCCGTGATCCCATCCAGGGCCACTCACACGGCTGTTGGAAGGAGGTCCCGGCTCTTCTTCATGGCATAGGTCGGAAGTCCTCACTCACTACCTGGTGGGCGAATTCCCCAAAGCAAGCAACCCAAGACAGAGAGCGGGATGGGAGCCCCAGTGTCTCCTACAACGGCACCCTCAGAAGCCACACCCCTCCTCTGTCACTACCCCATGGTTCCCACAGGCCAGATCTCCTGGCCGAGGGGGGACACCGCACAAGGGCATGGAGATGCCTTCCAGGAGAACCTGCGCTGACTCAAATTCAGGTGTCTGAGCTACACAGAGGGGCCGGCTAGACCGACGCGCGTGACTGTACACGGGACTGGAGACTGGAGATGGATCCCGCTGTGTCGGGAAGGTGTAGCCAGGGTTCCAGCCCCTACCACCTACGGCCTGTGTGCTTTTGAGTAAGGGCTCCATGTCTCTTAGTCTCAGCCTCAGCTGCAAAATGCTGAGAATGCCAGAGACTCCAAGGATACCAAAGCCTTGGACACCCCCAAGTTATGGAACAGCCATTTCTTGCTGGAACAGATGTGAAATTAGAAGGCTCTGACCATGTCCCAAGGGTATGTGGGTGCACGGAAGACTTCCTTTGCCTGCGTTGGTCACCAGTGCTGTCAGGTTGCATTTACTCATTCAACAAGCATTAAGTGAACCTCTGTTGTGTGCTAATTCCATGTGCTACACACCAGTAACAAGACAGGCAAACACCCCTGCCCTCCTGGAGTCTCCAGCCAGCGTCTGTCAGGGGCAAGTGGGACTCATTCAACCTGTGGCCAGTGTCACAGACGGCGTCCTGGGCTCACAGTGAGGCCCTGTGTCACTGGGCCTACAAACCAGAGCCAAGTGGAAACCCCAGCATCAGAGCCACAACCCCCCCTGGCCAGAAGGGGAGGGGGCTTCTCCAGGCAGCAGGCAGCCCCTCCTGCATTTTAACAAACTTCAGAGCTATGCTGCTGCATCCCAGCTGGACTCTGCCCCAGCCACAGTTAAGCTT